AAAACAATGCTGAAAATGTTTCTTCAAATAGCCTGTATCTTGCCATTTTGTTGTTGTTCAAGCTTTCTCTGCCGACAGAACCAAAACATGTCATTTGGTGACAGGTAAACAACCATACCCTGCATACATGTTTTCAAGGAGGAGAACTCCATGAGTAGGCCTACCGCGGTATCACAGTTATCAAGGCATCATCTAACAAGAAGATGAACATTGAGGGCCCTAAAATACAGCCCTTGGGGACACCTGAGGGAACCGGGTTCCATTCCAAACTCGGGCCATCAGTGAGTACTCGGTGTTGTCTAACTGTCAAATGACTATGCAATAATGTTAAGACTCCTAAATGCCAACCATAGGAGGTGAGCTGGTGTAACAGCTATGGGAAACAAGGCCTTTGAGAAATCTGTGTGCACGATGTCCATCTGCTGGCCCTTGTCAACAGCATCATGGTATGCCTCCTGGAGTAATGAAGTGAGATTGGTGGAACAATATCAGCCTGGAACAAATCCATGTTGTTGATCAGAGATGGCTGCTGGGACATATTGCAGATTTGTTTGCACACAACTTATTCAAAGACCTTCGACAGATGAGTAGGTAAAGAAATTGGTCTGTAATCAGTAACATTGACCCGACTAACAGATTTATGTATGGCAACTATAAGTTGGCGGATGTTCATTGAACTGGGAGTGTACTTCTGAAATTGCCATGCAAAACGAGCCTGCAAGACGAGAGCAGTTTACTTCTGATATGTTGAAAGGGAAGACACACATAGACAGAATCTTAGAACACGATTCAGTTGGGCTCAGTCAAAAGCAACTATTTTTTTTTACAAATTTATCTGCCAGTGCTGGAGGACCAGAGTCCCTATTTTCAAGGACTCGGACAAATGAGACTCGGACAGATGAAACTTGGACTCGGACAGATAAGACTCGGACTCTAACAATGAGGACTCAGATCTCTCAGGGACTTGGCCAGAGTCTGGCAAAAAAACCAAGAATTTTACCTTTACTTTACTGCAATTTCATTAAACGAAGAGACACATGGAGTTCTCATGCTTTCTTGAAAGTCATTCGGTTGCACTGCAACGCTAGCGCTACATGCACCAATTTGAAGACCCTGAGTTCGGACCGGTTTTAGACAGAAACTCGGATGTACATGTACAGTGTACCGTATATGCACTGTCTCCATGTGTAGAACTACATGTACGTCTAATGTACATCTTTTGAGTATTGTGCAGGGTTGATTTTGCACGAGTGCATGGACACTGTGGAACGGATCCCTGGTGAAAGACTCAAAAAAGAGGCTTGATTATATAGTTGAAGTGTCAGAACCATAGAACCAGACTAATAAAGCGACATTACAAAACTGTACAAAAGTTAAATTTAAATTTTTGTACACCCTGGAATCATGTTAAGATTGTGTGTTCTAGAATTTAAATGAAAATCTTTTGCAAAAAGATGTGTGAAGCTACAGTGCGCAGCTGGTGTACGCTCACAAGAACAGACTGAGACATACACTTGCTAACTCTACCACTTTAGGCGGTACACTACCGCTTCTCATGAATATTAACCATCTGCTGACTTTTTGCTACAAGCGACCACTGTTGATTATTTCTGTATCCAATTCACACTTGTGTCTCTCAAGTTCTTATTATGCAAATTTTTTTTATTACTTAATACCTAATTACCTACCTACCCACTTAATTACCTAATATGAAAACTATTCTTGCATTGTGTACCACAGATTGTGCTAAACTGAGTCACAAATTACAAATGTTTCCTGCCTTGAAAGCCTCCCAGCCCCTACCCCTGCTTGGTCGCTCTGCACCCTAGCATCTTTCCCTTCAAACTACTGAAGAATCTAAAACTTTTTCGGTCTTCAATGTTGAGAGGTATGCTGAGGCCTTGTCTCAACTTGTTTTGACATGGGCTTCCAGAGCGACAGCTATGGCTATTGTAAGCGTGTATTTGTGCACTTTCTAAAGGTGGGTTGAAGGCCTAAATCTAGCTAGATGCAGACGATTTGGATGCAGTCTAAGCACTCTCCAATCATTTTTTCATTAAACAACTTTTCTTCACAAAGAATTTGAATTCATTTTTTAAAACATTTTTACACTTAAGAAGCCTTAAGTCCTTTTACAAACAACCGAGGGTGAAACTTTTCACTAATTCAGTCAAAGTGCACACTACACAGCTATCTGGGGGCTTTTTCTGTTACCAAAAGGGGTCTAACGATCGCCGTCCAATGATATTAAATTTGTCCCCTCCTTCAATATATTTGATCTCTTCAACACTAATCAAAATGCTCAAGTTTTTTTCTGATATAGATAGTGAGAGTGTCAGTATGCCAATCAAACTTAACCCTAACCCCCAAGGGGTATTTGCCAAGGACCCTGCT